AAAAAAAAAAAAAAAAGTTGGGGGGGGGGTTATCTTGGGGGGGGGGGGGGGTTATCAAAAGTTGGTATTCTTAAATGTGCGGTACTTGAGTTCATGTTTTGTCCAAGTCACTTGAGTAGATGGTGAGTTCACGCATTGCTGTCGTCAATGTTCGGCGGGCTATAACTAGTCACAACGTTATTTTGGTCAATACAATCTTCAAAAAAAAATTTTTTTTAAAAAATTGAAAAACCGACCTCAGGACTAATACCGTGTGAACGTGACAGCTCTTTACCTGCGTGCCCAAAGCACGAAGCAATAGGATACACTTCATTATTATCATAGAGCGCCTTATTGTAACCATTTGAAAAAAAAAAATCTTCGGTATACACTTGTTACAAAGTTTGTTACTGGTTTGCACAAAGACCCGAGAGATGTCACGTATCGTAAACCTATGATTTTTTTTTTTAAACACTTCGCGACGCCCCTGTGAAGAAGCTCCGTTTTTACAGAGCACCACGGCGCACCGTCTGGCAACCTCTGTTTTGTAATTTTATAAAACTTATACAGATTTAAAGTAAAATTTGAGTTTCTTTACAAGACGTATTTCCCCATGATACAACAGCTATGGCATATAACATGGGCCAGCACGTCGTAGTGTCTGACTAGAGGCGATGAGAAAATCGTATGATGCGCCGCAGCAAACGCCTTGCCGTCATCAAAGTGACGTCATATCCGGAAGGAATGGACATAATGTATTTAGCGTGGAAAATCCAATAATGACGTCATTATTCTCATCAACGTTCCAGATTTTTTTTTTCTTCTTCTTTTACTTCAGAGTCTGAGAAACAAAATCTCAAGTTGGCATTAGGGCCAGGGATTACTGGGTAATGGCGCTGTTGGTAGGAAGGTGATAGGTCGTTGCTCTGACTTGAGGCATCGTTGGATGAGATAGTGCAGGGATCACTAAACTTCTTCATGGTGGGCCGGATAAGGACAAAATGAGGAGCGCGTGCCGGATAATCATTCTGTACAATACTTTCGAGCTAGAACGAAAGCTCGGGGGGGGGGGGGG